CTGGAGGGAGGGCTGGGGGCCGGAGGACCGGACAGCCACGCTGCCTGCAGAGACCAGAGGAAAATGCATCAGTTGGACGCCATCAAATTTACAACTTTTCTTCGACAAAAGACACTCTTTAGAGGATGAGAAGGCAGCCCTCAGAATGGGAGGAAATGCCTGCAAATCATGTGCGATAAGGGGTTAGCATCCAGAATAAAGAGCTCTGGTGACTCATTAATAAAAAGATAAAAAACCGGATGAAAAAATGAGTTTTTCAATCCAACGCGGGGAGGGGCCACCTCGCGCCCCGGGGAGGCTGGACTCGGGGAGTCCCCGGTGATGAGGGTGAGGAGAAGCCGGGTCCAGGGCCGGGGAAAGGTGAACGTGCAGCCGCTGCTCCCGGAGACAGCCTGGTGGCTCCCCAGGAAGTGGGACATGGAGCCACCACAGGACCCCGCGGCTCCACCCCCAGGAAGAGACCAACAGGAATGAAGCCGCGTTCACACCAACACTTGTGCACAGTGTTCACAGCCACTGGCCACAGCGCCAGGAGGTGGAAACGCCCCGGGGACCAGCCTCAAATGGAGGGAGGAGTAAATGGTCACACATCTACACGGTGGAGTGTCACTCAGCCACCTGGCAATGAAGCACTGACACGCCACAACACGCATGAACCACAAAAGAATCACGCTGAGGCCCTGGCCGGCGTGGCTCAGTTGGCTGAGCGTCGCCCCACACACCAAAAGGTTGCCGGTTTGATTCCCGGTCAGGGGGCATCCCTGGGTTTGGGGTTCGATCCCCAGCTGGGTGCCTGTGGGAAACATCGATGCTTCTCTCTCTCTCCCTCACCCTTCCTCTCTCTCTAAAATCAATACAAACTTTTTTAAAAGGCCCCACAGGGTACGATCCTATTTGTAAAATGGCTAGAAAGGCAAATCCGTAGAGACAGGAAGCAGATTAGTAGTCAGGGGCCTGGGGGAGAGGGGTGGAAAGTGACTGCTCATGGTCAGGGGGTCTCCTTTGAGATGGTGGAATGTTCTGGTGTAGGAATGTTCTAGATAAAGGTGATGGTTGCACAACAGTGTGAAAGTACAGATGCCACTGAACTGTTCCCTTCACAAGGAGGATATGTACGGCATGTGAATGTCTAGATCACACAAAGGGGGAGGGCCAGGCAGAGGCAGTGCTGGGGGTGGGCATTGCTGGCGTCTGGGACGCAGGCCGGGGGTGCGAGAGGCCCGGCCGGGGCTGGTTACCTCACCTTCTGCAGCCCATGGTCCCCAGAGGCCGCCTACACCCAGCCTCATCCAGGCTCCAGGGCAGAGGCAGCGACAACCCCCATCTGACCAAACCCAGAAGCCACAAGAGAGACAGAGGGGGGAAGTGTCTGGGGAGGTAAACTGAGGCAGCCTGTCTCCCTGATGGAGACAAGCTTCCTGACTCACTGTGGGAGCCATGGTGAAAGGAACAGTTGGCCCCAGACAGAGAGGTAGAGAGAGGAGGTGAGCGGGGGCAGGGCTCTGGCGTGGTCACCTCACCCATTTCACAGCCAGAACACCAAGGCCAGCAAAGCTGGGGCACCAGCTCCAGACTGAACACAGCAGGGGGAATCGGGACAAGTCACAAATCCAGTCTTGAGTCCCTGCTCCATGTCATTCCCAC